CCTCTATCCATTTCAACCACTTGTAAAGTGTAATGAAAATTCATAAATATAAAAGTATATGATATGTATATATTATTTACTTTAAAAATATGAAAATATACATATATATATAATTAAATTACATATTTTATAAATAATAATTAAAACATTATCATACCTGTCATATTCCTTTGGAAATCTAAAAAAGTGCCGTTTTTCTAAGTTGATAAAACTCATACATCCTGGCACTGCGCACCATTGTTTGATTTTCTTGTCCATGTTTCCCTTAGGCCTTCCGGATCACCAAACCGGAGCACCTGAAAAAGAAGCTAAGATCAAGATGCAAAAATTTCCTAACAAGAGAATTGAAAACCTATATAAATAAATAGGTTAACTATCCTCTTCAGGAAAGCTTCTACACACAAATAATTTTTTCACTTCACCACTTCACCACTTCACCACTTCTCGCTTAATTTGCACCTCTAATCACGTATTCTCATTTCACTCGCGTAATTGTTGCTGACAAATATTTATGCCGGCATTTAATACTGAGATCAGTGAGCATTTAAACTGTGATTTAAACACAGATGTGATTTTACCGCCAAGAAAGAGAAAGAGAGAGAGCGAAAATCAAAGGAGAAAGTGAGAGAAAAGTACAGATGGCAGTACTGGTATACTCGTTGACTTTGCGCATGCGCATTTCATTTTATGCTACACAAACTTCAAAGGTGCCGACAGGGAGTTGCGCTACTGTATATACTGTGATTTTAGTTCACTGAAACGTCAATAAATTACAAGGATATGGATGTCTCCGGCATGACAGAGGATGCCCGGAGACGACGGATCTTTTAAGGCGGAGTAACATTATGATAACGGCATCAGGGCAAGGAAATTAGGATGCATCCGGCATGATAGAGGATGCCCGGAAGCGACGGAAAAAGGGAGAAAGAACAAGAGGGTTTTCAGGCGGCACCGAGAAGATTCTGTATCCCTGTATAAGGAAAGACGTTTGAGTTGATAACAGTAGATTATATAATTTCAAATTTCGTTTATATATTCCGTGAAGCGCCGGTTAACGAATTAATTTAGGAAATTGGATGCCTCCGGCATGATAGTGGATGCCCGGAGACGATGGAAATCTGGGATCGGCTAAAACTAGTAATGAACCTTTTTGGAGTAAAAATAGGAGAGTGCAGAAGTCTCCGGTATGACAGAGGATGCCTGGAGAAATCCTAAGAGAAGGAGGCACTCGACACTTAACGGATGAGAGCTATATAATATATTTTAATTAATAATTACCTTGACGCTTGCCAGAATAAAATGATAAGTTATTGCAATTTTTATGCTGATTAGAAAAGAAATACTATCAGCAACATGCCAGTGCTTGACCGTATTGTTATTTATTTAATTCTTGATATCTTGTTTCAGGAAGTGTAGTGAATGCAAGGAAGGTGAACGAACGAGACACCTCCGATTAGACACAGTACAATTGGACACAACTGGCTTTGATTGGCTAATCGTGCTTGATCGTGCTGGTTACCTTAGGCATCGGTTGATATGATTGAATAGACTATATTTTTTAATTTTTTAATTTTTTAATTTTCTTAATTTCTGAGTGTTTAACTTATATTTCGTTAATTTCATTCGAATTTATTCACTTATATGTGTTTGCGCTGAAGAGGATCGAAAAATCGATCGAAATGTTACGTTCGCCTTTAATAATGTACATATGTTTAGCTTGTCTGGTATTATTGTAATGTCACCGTCGACATAGACTTATTCGAATTTATTTTTCTTGATATAATTAAACTCTGTTAATACACTTCTATCTAGCTCTATACGCCCGTTTTTAACTATTTGTATTTTGTTTAATTAGAGCCTTGATCACTTTATTTTAGAAATATAACTCAATTTAGATAGAATAATCGAATTTAAATTACAGCATATAAAGGAAATTATTTACACTGGTTGTAAATTCATAATGAGTTTAAATAAAGCATTTCAAAGAGTTGAAATAATTTGGAAGTTATTCATTTAAAATTAATCCAATAATTTCCCTGAAATACCTTATTTACTTAAATTATCTATTTCGGTCGCATTTATTTAAATCTAAATTTTAAATTTAACATATATAAAAAGTCCTTATTATATATTGATTAAGGAGTACATAGTTAATTAGCAGATTAAATAACCGTGTGTAATAGAAACGGTAAGGAAATGTTGAATGTTAGAATTCATATACGCGTATATTAAAATTAAAATTAATAAGAATAATGAATAAAATCGGATTATAATTAATAAAATCGAATATTCCTTCTTACTCCGTGGTTATACTAAAGAAGCAAGATGGGTAAGTGAATAATAACTAAATCTAGTAATTTTTAAAATGGCGGGACGTCACAAAGGGTGCTTTCCAATTGTTTAACACATCTTAACACAAACATACACAGGAAGGCACAAAGTGTAGCGATGTGCACGACTCAATTGGAACAAAGTTAATGTGCGACTTTCGAGTGGAGGGTTAGGATTCTTCATAACCATGTCCATCTTGATATTTTTTAATCCATGCTGAGGGTGATAGCATCGATATATAAAATGGATTGACCATTGCGTGTAGACAGGCATCAAATTCGATGAAAGTTTCTTGATCATCACTCAAACAATAAATAACGCCCTCATTCGAATAAATAGTTTTTTCCTTAAAGCAAATATGTTCATACAATTCTTCTCCATTTGGTAAAAGGGAAAAACATGTTGCACACGTAAAATTTGTGTAATTAGTCTGTAAATAATTCGAAGCAAAGTTATTAACATACATAGATGTATATATATGCATAATATTATATAATATATAAATAATATATAAATAAAATATATAAATGCATATTATATTAATATATAAATATGAATGAAAATTTAATCAGTAATATATCTAACCTGCAAATATGCAAAAGAGACAATTTTATTTTATTTATTAAATATAATAAAAAAATTAATTGTACAAAAACTCATTAATTTGAATTACTTACTTCAATGATACTTTTAATATTTTTATTGTCCATTTTTGTATTTGTATGGTGTACTTTAATGGTTGTCTTTTAATTAAAAAGGATAAAACGAAAAGAAAATTGCCAACATAATCGCCGTCAGTCTGTAACCGCATATTTCATTTGTCCCTAGAAAACAGAAGGTTACACAAGTTGACTAGTAGCCCTCGAGCTGAGTACGGATGTGTAAAGTTGTGTCGGCAGTTACGGCAATTGGAACGCGACTTGTGTCGCCGTGTGCATAAAAGTGTCTAGGGATATCTCAATTGGAAAGCACCCAAAGGCTATAGCATAACAGTAAGGTTTCGATCAATCGCGTTGCTCAATTTGGCCGTCCGTAACCAAATGGAAAGTGTGTACTATAGCCTTAACAAAGGCAGTGCACATTCCAGTATAGGGTTCACTGTTCCGTCCTTTCTTTGTGTCATTCACTGAAAAAAGATAGATCGTGTTCCGAAATTATTGCCAGTATTGCAAATTTTATAGCACATTACGTACATTAAAATGTATAGTTCATGTCACGCATATTATACATTTTCTGTCACTTCATGCGCATCATGCGTGAATTGGAAAGTACCCATATTTTCAGTGCTGGCAGTAAACTGACAGCAATTTCGGAACACGGCCATAGAATGACACCTGTGTCGACTTGTGTCGTTAAATGGAAAGCACCCTTTGGCTGGTAGGTCTGATACTTGCATGCTTGCAATTATTCAACTCCTCGGCTCCTCACTTTACTCCTTCCTCTTTTCCACATTGATACGAGATATATTTTGCGGCATTGATGTGATTTCCATTTTAGGAAATCTTCCGTTTCTACCTAGTATGCTCATAAAACGACCAAGATCAAACTTTGTGCTAACATTCAAGAATAGTGCCAAGGCAATTCTTATATTAGAGGGTGTATTGTTACTCGGATCATACGGACTCTGGCATCGTATGAATACCTCACAAGGTGAATTACTCACTCTACTGCAAGATTTATAATTTCTAGGTTACTCTACTTTACGGCTATTAAATTATATTATAATCACTTTTATTATACGTAATACTTAACATAAAAAATGTATAAAATATACAGGATGTTTTTATAAATAAGTTATCTCTCTGGTAAAAATAACCTCATGAGATAAAAATAACTCAATAAGTTCTTATGAAAATTTTTTAAATGCTACCAAGATTTGTTTTTATAATAAAATTTGAGAAGCTTTGCTTTTATAACTTATATTACTATAGATTTTAATAATTTATAACAATTATTTTTATGTTAAATAATGGTATTTAAAATAGCGTAATAGATTTTTAATATTAATTGGAGTACTACGAGTGAACCATCTATAAGCCTTCTAATTACAAAAACTTTGAAACTAGTAGGTATCTTTTATTTTTAAATATGTTTTTAGATTCTCTATATGTTTTTTTAAAAAAAAAGTGCATTCATGCTTTATTTCATCAGAACTAACTTTTTCGAGAAAAACATATTTAATCAATAAAAATAAATGATGATAAAAAATATAGAAAAAAATTTAAGATAATTAAGAATATATATTTTTATCTGCTTTATATATTCATAAAAAATTATCCATCTTTATCAAAACATTCTGTATATAAATATAATATCAAGGTTACGGTCAACATTGCACTATGAATGCTCCGAAACATCATTCTATCTTTATTCTCATGAAATGTAGAACAAAGATAAAATGATATTTCAAAGCATCCAGAGCGTCTTCCCGCAGTCCCAAATCATAAGATTTTTCTTCCACATGAAATTGTACCAATGTAACAATCAAATCTATGAATGATACTGCAAGGGATAATTTTGAAGTTAGTTTTAAAAAATTATTTCTCTTTTATCTCAACTTATACATAATTAAATTGGTATATTGATATATTGATCTCTAAACTTTGCAAAACGTATAGATTTCAGATATTATATGCACCAATATTTCCCAAATATATTGGAGGGTTATTATATAATTGGAGAAAAATTATCTGGCAGCAATCAATTGAGAAGATTTGATTACGCAACTTGGACAAGATTGCAATGAACAATAAACCTTCATGGCGTTCCTGAAATTTGCAGCATCAATAGTTCTTGGTGTAGGTGTAGGATATGGTCTGCTTCAAATTGTTTCACCCAAAGAATCAGAAATTGTGAAGGTAATTAAAAAATTTATATAATTACTTAATTACTAAATTGTATAAATACTAAAACAAATACTGATAGATGTTTTTTTATTATTTTTATATAAGTTCACATATTTTTTTTAATTATATATAAATCTATATTATAAAAATATTCCTATAAAGTTTTTTTATATTATAAAAAATATTTCTAAAGTTTCTAAAATTTCTAAAATATTTTATAAAAATATTTCTAAAGTTTTAATAATATATAAATGCATTGTACTAAAATTATTTCAATCAAGCAACTTTTCAATGATAGGAATGATATTAACCTATCCATAACCATAGAAAATTTCATTTTCTTCTAAGTCAGCATCTGAAGATGTATAAAAATTCTAAAATAAGAATCTGATAGAATGTTTCAGTGTCTTAATTAATTTAAACAAATTTGATCACATAAAGTTTCAATCACTACTTATTAAATTATTATATAAAAGATCACAATTAAGATAAAGATTGCACATTATCATTGTGATATATTAATTACATAATTGTATTTATTGTGATTGTTATTAATTAATGTTTTGTCTATCTTACGCTTTATAATTACAATAAGTTATTTGTTTCAAAGATGCTTTACATAAAATAGCAAAAAAACGTTTTGAAATGGATAATTTATTTTTTTTATTGATTAATAAAATAATTTTTTATATATTTCTCTTACAATAATATTTCATACTTTTATTGACAGATTTTTTAAAAATATTTTGTTTATTCAGTTTTATTTAAAATCACTAACTTGAAAGTATTGTACTAGATATGATGCAAAAAGTTTGTGTAATTGCATTCAATTATTAACTGATTTTTGATTGATTAGAATCTGACTAAAAGTAAAAAGTTTATTTTCATAGTTTTACAATTAAAAATAATTTTCCTTATCGAGAGTAATATACTATAAATATTGTATTACATCAATGCTCAAAGATTTATTACTTTTTAAAAAGTTTCGAAAAGCCTCACTTTGATTGTATATATATTTTAAACAAATTAAAATTTCTAATAAAAAAGTTGTGGAGTCTTTCTATTAATAATCAATCATAATGATAATCACAATTAATAAACACAATAATAAATCATTTCAGTATTATTAATAATCGCAATAATAAATCATTTCAGTATCTTCCACCACATTCATCGCAGAAACAAAATCTTTTCAAATTATATAAACAGCCATCTGAAGAATTTACAAGCCAAAATAAATTGAATATAAATTCTAAAAAACTTCAAGATAGCACAAATATTGAAAAATAACATTCATATGCTAAAATGGATTCTACGGAACTCATAGAAGGGAGTTTGCCAGATCGCATTACGAAGAGAGACCGTGAAAGAAAAAATATTATTGAAAGACGGAAAGAAGAACGGCAATCGCTTATCGTGGAATCCGAGCAGAGCAATTATTTTAAAGATACATTTTATTCCTCCTGCAAAAAGATTAAAGATATGCTAAATGATGCGCCCAGTATATCATCCTCGGCTTTGCCAGGAATTTTCGAGAAATCCAACAAAGAAATTCAATTACTTAAGAATTACTTATTGCAATCTAAAATATTTTTGAAAGTTTATGACATAAGACGCGCACAAGAAAACTTGCAGATGTTAGAGAATGAAGCTTCCGAATTAGAAATGAAACTTTTGCCTAAGAAAAAGTTTGGATTTAAAAATCGTAGAATTGTAAAGAAGCCTTCTGATAAGGGACTCGACATCACAGATGGCTTAAAAGATCTCCAGATATCTGAAAGCATTGTAAATGGTTCATCAAAGCAAAACAATAAATTATCAAGCAAATATGGAGATAACGCTTGTATGCTTCTAAGCAAGGTGAACGAGCAACTGGTATTGGATGCTGAGAATGTAAATAAAAATGATATTCTACTTTCCGATCTAATTAAGTGTACTATACGAATATATGGTACACCCAGTACATTGCATATGGTAAACCTAAAACAATGCACTATATTAGTAGGACCAGTGACATCTTCTGTGTTTGCGCACGACTGTAGTGAATGCGTATTCGCTTTTGCATGTCAACAATTGCGATTACATTCATCGACAGATTGTACCATTTATTTGCATGTTACAAGTAGAGCAATTATAGAAGATTGTACAAAGATATATGTAGCACCTTACAATTGGTCTTATGAAGATCAAACAAACCACTTTAACCTAGCTGGTCTTGATCCAAAGATTAACAATTGGAACTGTATAGATGATTTCAATTGGCTGTCCAGTGAAAAACATTCGCCAAATTGGTCCATTCTTGAACCAGAACATCGAGTGAAGACGTGGGATTAAATAAACATTTATAAGAAAAAGAGAAACTTATAACTTATAATTATCACTTATAATTATCTATAATTCAAACATTTTTAAGGCACTGAATTTTTTTCTAAACATCCACGAACATGATTTATCTATAAAGAAAAATTATAAATAATTATGTGTATGTATATATTGTGCACATGCTATACTTTTTCAAGAGATAAAAGTTGCATGTTTTATATACTTATAATGTAATACATTCAGTCTTTGTGCAATATATATGATATATGCAATTATATTTTATAATATACAATGGCCAAATCCTCTCAGGAACACCAATTTTTTTGTTACTGCAATTGCTCTTCAATTTTCTATTTTTGTCTTCTCTGTTAAATTCTCATCCTATAATATTACATGTAAATAAAAATATTGGGAAAAAATAAATTCTTTCCAATTTAATGGATAAAATTTTTTAAGTGTGAAAAAAACTCAGATCAGTGCAGAGTACCCATAGATATGTTAACATAGACTGAGTACAAGGCAGTGAAGCCTAAAGTTGAAATGTCTTCCTGAGAGAAAAGGATAACATGAATTTACTTGTGTGTCTGTCTTTTTCTAACAATGTATCATTCTATAAATATATCAGCGCACTAGTATGCATGACTTTAATAATCTGAAATTGCATCATGCGTGTGTCAGAAAAAAACCGAAGTAAATTTATACTATCCTTTTCTCTCAGGAGGACACCACTATCTTATAAGCAGTCTATGTTAATATATCTATGGGAGTAGTATCTCACAGATTATGATTCATTCACACCCAGCCATCTAATCTCGACTTATTTCGAAGTGAAATTTCTCGGGTGTAAACTAATTTAATTCATACTTTATTTTGATTCTAAACAACTATTTTAATTCTAAACAAAGTAAAGTAAGTTATCCATGGAAAATGTGTAAATGCTAAATAGTATAAATGCCTCAAATCGAAATGTAAGAATGTCGAAGTGTTATCAATTAATAACATGCGTAACAAAAAGAATAAAAATAATCAAATACTGGTTGATATAGTGATTAATAATTTGAAGTAAATATATTATTTTATTAAATTTTTTAAAAATGGATTAACAACTGTAAAGGCCATTCTACAATGACCATAGCATAAGGTTGTAAGGCGTAAGCATTGAATAAAAAATACCAGGAAGGAGCATATGACCGAAAATCTTTTGCTTGCCGTGCAACGGATGTGACGGATATGCCGTGTGACGTAATGAAAGTAAACCAAGGCTGTGTTCCAAAATTCACTGCCAGTACTGAAAATCTATAGTGTACGTCATGTAAACTAGAGAACCTCTAGGAGAGAGAATGGACAACTGATCAAGCTTTTTCATGATTGGCTGGCAGAAAATGTATCAATTTTAGCTATTGCGACGCCAATGCACAATATGATGACACACACACACAGTTAATATAACCTATTTGTGTCATGATATTTTGCATTGGCGTCGCAATAGCTAAAATTGATACATTTTCTGCCAGCCAATCATGAAAAAGCTTGATCACATGTCACATGATCAGTTGTCCATTCTCTCTCCTAGAGGTTCTCTAATGTAAACTATAGATTTTCAGTACTGGCAGTGAATTTTGGAATGCAGCCCAAATATCGATAGAATCGAATTTATGACGTCATTGTAGTATATACTGTGACGTTACCATTGAATTCAATAGACGTCACATGTGTAAGAACTGTGTAAGAACTGTGAAAATTGAATAGAGTGAGAATTAAAGAAAAAAAAATAAAAAATGGTCAGTTGTTGCTTATGTGGATTTTCTAAAACAAAAGGACGCATAGAAACATTTCATAGTGGTATATAGTAAGTGGTATAATATATTCTATTTAAAATAATAGAGTCAAAATAAAAGTATTACAACTTGTAGGTTAATTTGTATTTTATATTTAACAATAGTCATGTTTAGTAAAGTATTTATTCACATTACTTTCATATTTTTGTTTGATGCATTTTTAGTGTGTTTGAAATATACCGCCAGATATGTGATGACGTCATTTATGACGTTCATGACGTCATAAAAACCTAACCCAATATCCCGCGATATATCGCTACATGTTCCTTCCTGGTATTCTTTATTCAATGGACGTATGATTCAAGAAATTGACCAATCACAGTCAAGTATTAAGAGAATACTCGACTGTGATTGGTCAATTTCTTGAGTCTTACGTCTTACAACCTTAAGGCCATTCTTCAATGGTCGTAGCATAAGGTTGTAAGGCGTAAGACTCAAGAAATTGATCAATCACAGTCGAGTATTCTCTTAATACTTGACTGTGATGGGTCAATTTCTTGAATCTTACGCCTTACAACCTATGCTACGGCCATTGTAGAATGGCCTTAATAGCCCTAATAGCAATTCCATTTGAAGGCATTAGTGCGCACTGGCACAGATTAAGGGCCTCCGCACAAGATGTTCCGTATCGCATTACGTTACGTTAAGTATAGATCGTAAATTTAACTCCGTATGTAAACTTAAACTTCAGTCAACGCACAGAAAAAATCGTAACGTAAAGCTATGTCTTTACATTACGATTTTTTTTTCTGTGCGTTGATTGAAGTTTAAATTTACGTACGGAGTTAAATTTACAGATAAATTTACAGTTAAATTTAAAGATATGTCTTTACGTTACGATTTTTTCTGTGCGTTGACTGAAAGTTACGTACGGAGTTAAAGGGTACCCTCGGTTAACAATGGTGAAATGCCCTCAATTTTTTTTTTTTTTTTTTTTGGTAAAAATGTCTTTCTTGGGCCTCAAAATGAAGGGTCAACCAAATCCTAGGTCCCAAAAATTTTTTTGGGCCTTATAGGGCCCAAAAACATCGTTTTTTGCGTTTTATTTTTTTTCTCGCATTCTAATCATCGGAAAAATCTGAAAAAATTCATGAGTATATATCTTTTGATTACTTTTTTGTGAAATTTTTTTGGAAAAAATTGGAGTCCAACATAATCTCGAAAAAAATTATTTAATATTTTAAACGCGATTTTGACCAGCTTCCAGTTTTGGAACGGTCAGAATTCTTTTTTTCTCTTGTAGAACGGAAAAAAATACGTCGAAAATGTATTTTTTCAGATTTTTTCTAGTGGTGCGCCATGTCGAAAAATAATAAAAACCAATAAATCGTCGATTTTTCGACGTTAAGGCATCATTCCCCAAACAGTTATTTGTTTTTATCATTTTCTGATCATCGAAAAAAGTTTAAAAAATTCATGAGTACTCTAGAAGTTATACTATTTGAATAGAATTTTTTTGAAAACGATTTAGGGTCAACATAATCTCGGAAAAAAAAATTTAATGTTTCTAACGCAATTTTGACTATGTTCCGGTATTGAAACACGGAAAAAACTCACGATACATGTATATATATTTGTTTCTATTCATAAATAGTTTTCTTAGTAAGTGATAACATATGCTGACATAAATAGGAACGAAATATTAGTTATGCTGACTTTGATAGACATGTGCAGACATCAGCACAATTCCAAGAGAATATTAGAATTGTACTAGGACTTACGTTGACCTAAGGGTCCTGTCATTAGTGTAATGTTGTTTGAATGTCAACCACAAACCGCGTTCCACTCACTATTGGTAATCGGTACTTAATAGTTTCATCGGTACTCAATCATTTCAATGCTTGTGCGCGTTTCACTATGCAAGTTGTTTGCGTTTTGGAAGTAGAAAGCTTTCTTATTCCCTTTTACTTCCTCCTATTCACTTGTAATTCAGAGATGTGAATACACCTTACAATAGTATAGCTACACGTATAACAGTAATGGAGATCATATCTATATATTTACATCAAATGTAGATTCATAATAATCCCCATTACTGTTATACGTGTAGCTATACAAGTGAAAGGTGTATTGACATCCCCGTCTTGATCCCATATATTCCCTCTTATTTAACTTTGTTCCATTTATCGTAGAACGGGCTAAGTTTATGCCTATTTTACATAGACATATATAATGGACAGAGCATCACGATAGACAGGCAATCGCCCGCTGTAGAGAGAGAGGTACTACATGGGAGGCCTATGTCTGTCTCTTTTGCTAGTATCTTATTGGTAAGTTTCCCGCCTCGATGGGCGGGAACCAACGTTACCAATGTAATGGGGATTATTATGAATCTACATTTGATGTAAATATATAGATATGATCTCCATTACTGTTATACGTGTAGCTATACTATTGTAAGGTGTATTCACATCTCTGAATTACAAGTGAATAGGAGGAAGTAAAAGGGAATAAGAAAGCTTTCTACTTCCAAAACGCAAACAACTTGCATAGTGAAACGCGCGCAAGCATTGAAATGATTGAGTACCGATGAAACTATTAAGTACCGATTACCAATAGTGAGTGGAACGCGGTTTGTGGTTGACATTCAAACAACATTACACTAATGACAGGACCCTTAGGTCAACGTAAGTCCTAGTACAATTCTAATATTCTCTTGGAATTGTGCTGATGTCTGCACATGTCTGTCAAAGTCAGCATAACTAATATTTCGTTCCTATTTATGTCAGCATATGTTATCACTTACTAAGAAAACTATTTATGAATAGAAACAAATATATATACATGTATCGTGAGTTTTTTCCGTGTTTCAATACCGGAACATAGTCAAAATTGCGTTAGAAACATTAAATTTTTTTTTTTCGAGATTATGTTGACCCTAAATCGTTTTCAAAAAAATTCTATTCAAATAGTATAACTTCTAGAGTACTCATGAATTTTTTAAACTTTTTTCGATGATCAGAAAATGATAAAAACAAATAACTGTTTGGGGAATGATGCCTTAACGTCGAAAAATCGACGATTTATTAGTTTTTATTATTTTTCGACATGGCGCACCACTAGAAAAAATCTGAAAAAATACATTTTCGACGTATTTTTTTCCGTTCTACAAGAGAAAAAAAGAATTCTGACCGTTCCAAAACTGGAAGCTGGTCAAAATCGCGTTTAAAATATTAAATAATTTTTTTCGAGATTATGTTGGACTCCAATTTTTTCCAAAAAAATTTCACAAAAAAGTAATCAAAAGATATATACTCATGAATTTTTTCAGATTTTTCCGATGATTAGAACGCGAG